ATGTGTGTTTGGAATTTTAAGTTCGTATTTTTGTTCATGACATAAGTTATTAAGAATGATGTCACCGGCACTCGATAGAAAAGAAAAAAAAATAAAAATCGGGGCGTGACAAAATTGTTGCATACGATATCGTTTTGGTGGACTAAAATCTTTCCCGATTAGTAAATAATAATGTTAAATTTTACCCATAAGCACTTACCGAATAAATGTTTAGTAAACGCCCCTAAATTTGTTGAAATATTATAGTCATAATTAAGTACCACATATAAACCTAACAAATCAAAGAAACTCATATGTCACCCATACGTGGAATGTATACAGACCTGACATCTATCTCAAGAATTCCACAAAGACCCTCGCCTTATGACCTTGTCAAATTAAAACTTACATAATATATTCTTTCACCCACCTATCTCACTCCCGGCCATTAAATCAGTTAAGTCTAGTTTCATCTGTTTACCTAGTGCATCCTAATGCCTTGTTATTTATTCATCACAACAGGGACCATAGGAGCCGATGATTGAAAAAGGTACATGTTTTGAATTATATTGCCATTGTGAGCAGTATTGATATGGGCTGGCACTAGCACTAACCAAAGAATATTAGATAGCCTGCAAATTTTATAATCTAAGGCCAGAAAGTTCAAGCTTTTGATATAGGTCAAACAAACCAGTCAAGGTTAAACCTTTAAAGTCTTGGAATTTAAAATCTTACTCTATGAGTCACCATTGGATCAAAGAAGAAACACTAGCAGAAATCTCATAAATTGGCATGTTTTTCTTACCGGGATACAGTTAGAGGTGGTGCGGAGACAGGGGCGGCGACGGGGTGGTGCGGCGGCGACGAGCGGAGACAGGGGCGTCGACGGGGGTGGTGCGGCGGCGATAGGGAGAGGGAGACGATGGTGTGTGGGCGCGGCCAGAGGGAGACGAGAAGGAGACGTGCGGTGGTGAAGACGGACGAGAGGGAGAAGATGAGGAAGATGGGTAAGTCATTTTTTACGTTTTTTTTAATAATTTAAGGTTTACCTCAGGTTGTAAGTTACATTTTTTAAGAATAAAGATTTATTTAATATGTTTTAAAAAGTTTTAAGGAGTTATTTAATAGATTCTAGAATATCCAATGATTTATTTGTTCTAAATAATTATTTAAGGACTTAATTATTATAAACAGTAAAGTTCATTGGGTTTTTCTAGATTTTTCCCATATTTTTTCTTAAAAGTTTGTAAAATATATACATTTAATTTTAATTTCTTTTTTTGTAAGTTTTTTATTTGGACCGGAAAAAGAATAATCAAGGAATCTGCATTTTGACAAAAAAATCAAACCCCAACTTCCCCTTCATCATCTTCAACCTCAAATCAATACACAATACTGATGCCCAGAAGAAACAAAGGGAGTTGCACCTTGAGTTTGGAAGAAAGGGACGAGTATTGCTGATAATCGCTGAAAATTACGGTGGAGGGAGATGCGGAGAGAAAAAAAGAAGGGGGTTGATGGTAGGGGACGTATGAGATCATCAGCGAGATACCAATCAGAGAAGGAGAAGGCTACAGTGGTGTTGACATAGTGCTGGTTTCCATTGGAAAGGGTATATCTATCTATGTATGTTGTATGGGGGATGAAGTTAAAAGAGGGTGAAGGGTATAAGAGGAATAAAAAGGTGAATAAATGGCAAAGGATTCTACTATTTTTGTTGACAGAATAAGCCCTTTGCTAAAACATTAAGTCACATCTGAACAAGTCTGTATCCATTAAATTTGAACCGAACAATCCTTATGACTTGTGACATCTTCTGATAGGAGAAGTATAGCAGGATACGGAAAAGTCATCAATAAATAAGACAATGTACAAGTTGCCACATATATTTTTAGGAATGTTACACGTTAAGGGTTTTCATGGGTTGGGTTGATTGGGTTGAAAGTATTTGAACAATCCAACCTGGCCCAATGTTTATGGTTTGAAAAATCTCAACTCAACCCTACCCAACCCAATTCAAACCAAAGTGCAACCCAACCAGACCTTAACTGTACTGGTTGTTCGGGTTGAAACATCAAAATGTATATGCAACTAAACAGTTTTTATTCATATATTATTACGTACACACAACATGACATTAAAATAGAAAAACTCACATGAGTTTCTTCCGTAGTAGCTAGATATTACACAAAGATTTGGTATAGCTTTCTCTCAAGCTCCTTATTCAGAGAAGCATACGGCTTCCATCAGCATGCATGCATGCCGTCATATATAACATTTGCCAGCATCATTACTAGAATTGAAGAATGGCACCAATAGAGTCGAGGTAATACCCACATTCCCCGAAGAACCCGACAAACTTACCCTTAGCCACCGGCAGAGAGAAACTAGTCCCTTCATCTGTCCTGCCGTATGGCCCCAAGCTCCTTTTGTTGGTACGAAAAGACAGGGACGCAACAAAGTCTCCAGTTGTTCCGCTCATCTGGTTGAGCTCCTCATCTTCATCAAAGGCAATCTGACAACATAAATACCTCCATCATAAACGCTATGTAATAAAATAACAAGATATCATGAGTATATGTATAAGTAAAAGATGTAATAAATGTGAGGTCACCTTTTGTTCAGTGCCGCCATCGCCACCATATTTAGGAGAATGGTGTTTGACTAGGTGCTGATCCTCATAAACGAACCTGATGGAATCTATATAGTTTCCACTAGCGATCCAGATCTCTATAATCCTACCATCGGGTTTGAATGTCCAGGGTCCTGCACAGTGACCTCCCCATGGTCCAACTTCTCCGGTAGCCTACATATGAATCCAAAATATAGAAATAATAAAAAGTGAAGCCGTGTTGGTGATAAAAAAATTAAGTACAAGTAATCATAATCCTAGCATTCAGTTATATAGTTAACGAGTGTTCATCTAATAGTGAAACATCTTACCATTTTCCTTCCCAAGAATATTGGAACAGAGAGGGGCAAAGAGTCTTAAGTAAACTTATGTTGTACATTTTCCTTGCAAGCTTATTTATAGAAGAAATATATACTTGGCGATGTGCTGCCTACCTTCTTCTCATCTTTAATGCTAACAAACAATTCCAGAGGTGAGCCTTCTTCTCATCTTTAATGCTAACAAACAATACCAGAGGTGAGCTGGTTATATGTGGACGCAGAATTTTCTTAGTGATTAGTAGATAACAATAGAAGATATATTTGTTATTAATGGATAATGTATATTTTCTATAATCATCTACTATCAGAATGGGAGTACGAAATCCTTGGGTTTGTCTTGCTTTGGTGGAGATGAGGCTGGGTGACCAGGTCCAATGTCCAAGGCATCGAGGCTCGTTTTTGACATTTTATAGGTCCATGTGAAAAAGGGGCCTCAATAAGTACGGAAAAATTTCAATATATTATTTTTATTATAAAAAATAACACTAAATTCAAAAAATACTAATGATTCATATAAATTGTTTTACAGGTATTCCTACATGCAAAATTAATCAATGATTACTTCTAAATTAATATTATCTACCATACCATATTTACATATCGTCTTAAATTCGTTCCATCGTCAAACACATTCTATGATATACCTTTAGTATATAGATTGACATCATTTGGGGTCACAATATTCAGAATCACATTTTATGTTAATCAATATAAATCAGTTGCGTTCGATGTCATATCAATATATCATGTTAATGTTTTCATCACCATTTTTAAATTTTATGGTTAAAACAAACTCTTTAGGAACCATTAATCTATCAATCTAAGAATCAAAATTTTATCTTGGTTAATAGCTTGAGATCTTATTCTTGTTTTAGAGATATGATAATACTTGAATTTCATGTACTTAATATTAGGTAATAAGGAACCAATGTATGAAGAAAGAAAGGTAAATTTGAAATTCTAAATATAGATATAAGTTGTATCGTTTCGTATGGTTGATAAAATTTCTCAATGGGTATGAGTTTTTTTTAGTCAAATAACAAGAAATCTACAATATTCTAATACAAAAATGGAATTTATACCGATGTAATAATTAAAAGAGTTAGTGCAAGATGAATGATGAAAAATATATTAATGTTTTCTAGGCAGAGTGGTTTTATATTTTAGTAATAAAAAAAACCTTAGAGAAAAAATAAACTATACTATAAAATGAACAACCAATTAGTTTTTTTATTTTTCTTTCTCCAATGTAATTAATTAATACATGCTTGGTCCCTTAATATAATGCTAAGTTTTCTGAATCATTGAGAAAATGAATTCAAGAGAGGCAATGGCTATCGGTACTGACACCAAGCCACCCGTACTGTTTAGAGGAGACTATAACCAGTGGAGAGACAGATTCCTAAACTTCATAGAAAGAATGAAAGAGGGTGATCTAATCATGGAATCTTTGATGGAAGGTCCAGCTGTATTTTACAGAGAGACACCTGTTGTTCCTGAAGAAGGCAGATCTGCGCAAAGAGTCATAAAAGAGAAGTTCAGATACAATGCGGAAGAAAAGGAGAGAGCACATGCTGATGTGTTATGCAAGTCCTACATGATGCAAACACTAACCAACGATATCTACACGAGCATTGACAGCCATAAATCTTCTGGTCACAGCATGTGGATTCAAATAGAAAAGATGATGATGGGTTCCAAGGTGGGAACTCAGTTAAAAATCACTAACTGTATCTATGCTTATGAAGAGTTCAAGGCTAAAGATGGAGAGAACCTTGACGATGTTTATGACAGGCTTACTAAATTGCTTAATGAGCTGACCAAGAACGGAATCTCTAAAACTGTCATAGAGATGAATGTTAAATTCCTTAGCAACTTACAACCAGAGTGGAAACCTTATGCTAACCATATCAGATACAACAAATCCTTATCTGATATCGACATATATGAGGTTTATGAAACTCTGAAGCAGAACGAGGAAGAAGTTTTAGAACTCCGAGATTCTAAAAAGAAGAAGGAAAAGAAAGTTGCTGATCTTTTAGCCATTGTATCTGAAAAGAAGGGTAAAAACAGATATGAAAAGCAAGTAAAGGAGATCAGCCAATCAAGTGAATCGGCAAGTGAAGGAAGCGACAATATATTTTCTTTAATGCTAGCAACCAATACTAGAGGTGAGCTGGTTATATGTGGACGCATAATTTTCTTAGTGATTAGTACATAACGATAGAAGATATATTTGTTATTTATGGATAATGTATATTTTCTATAATCATCTACTATCAGAATGGGAGTACGAAATCCTTAGGTCTGTCTTGCTTTGGTGGAGATGAGGCTGGGTGACCAAGTCCTACGTCCAAGGCATCGAGGCTTGTTTTTGACATTTTATAGGTCCATGTGAAAAAAGGGGCCCTCGATAAGTACGGAAAAATTTCAATATATTATTTTTATTATCAGAAATAACACTGAATTCAAAAAAATACTAATGATTGTTATAACATTGTTTTAGAGGTATTCCTAGACGCAAAATTAATCACTAATTACTTCTAAATTTATATTATCTACCATGCCATATTTACATATCGTCTTAAATTCGTTCCACCGTCAAATACATTCTATGATATACCTTTAGTATATAGACTGACATCATTTGGGGTAATTCAGAATCACATTTTATGTTAATCAATATAAATCAGTTGCGTTTCGATGTCATATCAATATATCATGTTAATGTTTTCGTCACCATTTTTAAATTTTATGGTTAAAACAAACTCTTTAGGAACCATTAATCTATCAATCTAAGAATCAAAATTTTATTTTGGTTAATAGCTTGAGATCTTATTCTTGTTTTTGGAGATATGATTATACTTGAATTTCATGTACTTAATATTAGGTAATAAGGAACCAATGTATGAAGAAAGAAAGGCAAGTTTGAAATCATAAATATAGATATAAATTGTATCGTTTCGTATGGTTGATAAAATTTCTCAACGGGTATGAGTTTTTTTAGTCAAATAACAAGAAATCTACAATATTCTAATACAAAAATAGAATTTATACCGATGTAATAATTAAAAGAGTTGGTGCGAGATGAATGATGAAAAATATATTAATGTTTTCTAGGCAGAGTGGTTTTATATTTTAGTAATAAAAAAACCTTAGAGTAAAAATTAACTATACTATAAAATGAACAACTAATTAGTTTTTTTTTATTTTTCTTTCTCCAATATAATAAATAATACATGCTTGGGCCCTTAATATAATGCTAAGTTTTTTGGATCATATTAAATACTATTTTTTATCACTTTTATTTACTAATTTTCTAACTACTACTATACATTATATACGAAAAAATTGGGGCCCTAGTTCTTGTGGGCCTGCCCTCCCGAGAAACAACGGCCCTTAAGGCATCTTGATCACCATATGAAGTTCTCGTCCGACACATTCTCGGTCACGTCCCTCCAGCCATTTTTCCTCTCAAACCTCAAAGATGTGCAGTAACAGAATCTGACTATGTCAACCATGAGCAAGTCAGACGGGACTATTGGTCGCGATGGTTACAAGAATCATAGGAACTTTATATCTTTGTGATATCGGCAACATCCCTCATGTATTAAAGATCGGAAGATACACTAAAGAATATAGTTTGGCTCTCATCACTCTCTCACACATGAAGAACACCATACATATGTCTTTTGCAAATGTACTGTTTACATTTGAGTCACGTTATTTACATGTATTTTTTTTTATTTTCTATGTCTTTTCTAGTAATATCAACTATAATGAACATGTGTAAATGCGACATTCATGATTGACGTCTAGATAGTGGATTTTGTAGCCACCGACAATATTTTTTTTAACCTTTCTAGGGGTTTTTCATTGACCAATCAATCATCGTATTAATTACTTATATCCTATGCTACATTTGACCACATTATGGGCTTACGTCCACCTTTAAGTCAAAAGGACATGTTCGCATACAATTTGGAATCATACCCGTTTATGCCAAAAATTATATAAAATAATAAGGTGTAGGCCTTGAAGCTATCAACCAGAACCTTTGAGACAAATACAAAAAGAAACGATGACGACACAAATATTTTGGTGACGTGGAAAACCGTGTTGAGGAAAAAAACCGCGGACAATCTGTAATAAAGTCAATGCACTATGGATGTCAATCAGGGACGTGATCGTTAATAACAATCATTATTATTACAAGACGCGATTGATAAAAATAATCATAAGTAGTCGTGTGTAAGGAATATAGATTCCGTCGTTGTCTTCTGAATGTCTTGATCTCTATATATTCTTGAGGATTGTCTTCTGAATGTCTTTTGATTATGCAATTAAATCTTGTTTGTCGGTTAGTTTGGTGTATTAATGAGTGAATCTGTCTTTAATCTTTAATTACACATGAGACCTGTAATTAGTAGGAAATTAATCAAAATTGTTAGTTGTCGCTTTTATCTAATAATCACGAAAGTTATGGATAATCATTGATCAATGATATCATGGTCGTGGACAATATCCACTTTGGTTGCATTTGTGATTTTTTACCCAAACAATTTGCTTATGGGATTTAACTTTCAAAGCTCACCTGAATTCAAGTTTCGCTCCAAAAAGTAGTTTCTATGGATAAGATGACACATGGGTCTAAGAAAACTGATTTGGTTTCTTTTCAAACGCCTCAGTTATATGAAAACCAAATAGAAACCAAATCGATGATTTACTTTAAAAAAGAACACACGAGCATGATGTCATGATAGCTGTATATAGACACGTGTCTCTTATGGGATGAGATGGACAAAGAGTTTTGGACAGGTGTCGCTTATCGGAAGGTAGATCTGACATTGGATTTTATTTGAAAAATCCATATAAACATGGACTATATGCATATCTTTCTTCTTTTTACGTTTTAGATCCATATTTTTTAAAACATGAGCAAAGAATCCTTTTTGCTTTTAGACATGTAAAATTTCAATTCAAAAGTTTTTAGTATATATTGTATAATTTTAACATTTTTTGTATGCCCCATATTAAACACATAGTGAAGAAACTTG